TTATTGTTCAATACAAAATGGTCTACAACTAGCAAAAGGATCTTCTCATAATTTCTTTTTTCCTTCTGTTTTTCTAAACCATGTAATGTTATTCTATATACCTAATTAACTTTTGGCACAAGGATATTAGATACATAAATTTTTTCATTAATAGTGTGGTTACCAGCTGAATGCAGAGAGCAAATCTTCCTTAAGAGGGTGAATGGGCCTGCCCATCAGAGCTAGGACTAGCTTCATCATGTTTGCTAGCTTCATCATGTTTGCCATCACTTCCTTTTCGCTTAAGCAAGTGCTTGATCTTTTCTTCTTTCGTATCTACAAAGTCCATGAGGTTCTTGAAACTAGTTGATCGGATCGAGGGTCTAGATCTCCTGGAAGGAGGTCCAATCTCCTCCACATCCCCTTCCACGGCCTCCGGGATAAATCTGCGGTATTGACAAAGGATTCTGCAGAAGAACACCGTAAGAGAAAGAAAGCATGCAACGCCACAGATAAGAAACAGGCCCCAAAAGCTTGTCAGAGATAGCCGGTCTGAATCAACTTCATTCATTTGAATAGAACATTCGTTATGCGAAAGCCATTTATTACGGATCTTTTGGAGATCGCCATTCTCTGAGAGTTGAAGAATGGCGGTCGACAAGTCAACAGCAAGAGGAGAATCCCTTTGGAATGCCTGAGACAAGGAAACTGAATATGAGAATTATTGTTTTCATTCACAGGACTACTTTTTAAGCATAATGCTAACTTTCCTGTCTGAGGTATCCATGAGGAAAATAAGGAATGCAGTGTGATTTAAGATCAAAATCAACAATGGTACTTACAAATCCCCATCCGCTTTTTGTAAACTCCTGCCCCACCGTCCTGAATTTACATTTGGTGTTGGACATAAACAGCTCAATATAAGGAAGCTCATCAACAATGGCAGCTACCCCACCACGTTTCGGTCCATACTGAAGGGCTTCAATGTAGTGTTCCATGGTTTTTAACTTGACGAGTCTAGATTCCGCAATGTTGAGCTCATCAACCAAATACTTCCATGCAAATGACCCATCTTGAACTCCAATTGGATCGTTACTTGCTATCAAGCTGTCAATCCCTTCGATTCGTGATGTCAACTGCTGCACCGTGAGGATTGACGTCAAACTAGCTGTGTAGCTCGAATTGATAATTAAGACCACAAACAACCATATAATCAGCACCAGCCGTCCCAGGGTGCTCACAGTGTTCTCTCCTGCGCCAAGTCCAAGTAGCAAAGGATGTTAGGAGTTAATAATGCGAA